CACACAGATACAGGCTCAGCTATACAACAGCCACACATGCACACAGATACAGGCTCAGCTATACAGTACAGGCACACAGTGACAAGTAACAGGAGTGAACCTGTTAGTTTTTCGTGGTTAAACCAGAAAGTAAAAAAATGCCACACAATTGTTATATGGATTTAAATGCCACCAAATTAAAATAGTCTTAGTTGTAAAGGTGAAGAGGACTAAACATCATTTCTTAATTACACCAAAGGCTATGGAATTAATTAAATCTTTATATATTTTCTATGACCGAATTAAACTGTATGACAAAAAGTGATGAGAAATAATTAAGATTATGTTGACTAAAAGAATGATTTTCGTAAAGTTCAGTCAACTAGACTAAATAAAAAGTGCCTGACTAAAACATGATTAGACTGTGTCTAATAGACATTTTATCTGATTTGACAAAGACTAAGTCAAAAACGGATGACTAAGCACGGATAGAGGCACACACAGCACAGTTACGCATAAGTTATGATCAATTCAGATTATACAGTGGCGTTTATCCCAATGTGCTTTACACATAGGGGGGGACACATTTCATCCCCCCTGATCTACACAGCAGATCAGAAAGAGAGGTGAAGAGAGAAACTGCTTCACCAGTTGAATTCCGGGTGTACTCTGAACTCTGAGGACACCAGCCTGTGCAAACCCAGAGACCAACCCTGGGATTCTTAATGACACAGGAGCCTGGTTAATATCTCATCTGTTCCGGCAGCGTCTCCTACATTACCTGGTCCCATAGTGACCATACCAGGACATGAGTTTGCGAATTGTGGGCCAGAGCGAATGGTGCCCCCTACGGGCCCACTGACACCGATTCCAACAGCGACCAGTACTAACCAGGCCCAGCCTGCTCGGCTTCTCAGATCTGACTAGATCAGGCTAGACGGTCATAGCGCAGCTTTCAGATGGCCAGCAGCCACTTGCTTTCAACTGAGAACGCTTCTGCAGGCACAGAACCAGGCTGTCGTCCAGTCAGAAGCACTTGTTAGTGAAGGCCCCCGTCACCGTTCCCTGCTAGTTCCCTGCTGCACTGCCTTGCCTTACTCCAGCTGTGAGCCCTCCTTGTCTGTACCACAGCCTGTGCTGCCTTGTCATGACAGGGCAGTCCTGTCGTTTCTTGCCAGTACCAATGATGTACAGGAGAACGGCGCACGTATGTGCGTCGAGATTCAGAACACGCCAACTGTACCAGCAGAGATTTGTGCACAGGGATTGGGGAATCTGGGGGCTGGGCTGCCCTTTTCTCTCCACCATCTGTGTTTTCCACTGTGGGCAAGACGTCCACGCCACAGGCCCGCACTGTTGAACGTCAGGCCCTGCTACTGCTGGATGAATGGGGTGTTGTTTTCAGAGGTTTTTATTTTTGCGTCGTTAACACCCCTGTTTCATGGAAATTCCCAGTCCCTAAAGGCCATGCTAACCAATCAGCCAGCTCTCCTGAGATGTGCTCCAGAGCTCATGGAAATATCGGATACCCCATCGTTGCCAGTGTTGAATTCCCCTCTGAATCCCCTGTCCCTTCACACAGTATGTGTCCTGCAGGTGCTCCAGTGTCTCTCCTCTCTCCCACTCCATTCCCTGGATTTCTATCACCACACACTCAGACGAGCCCAAAGGTTTATTTTTTAAGTGTGCATTTCCTGTTTAAAGAAAGTACATTTTAACTGCAAGGTCTTTCTCCACTCTCAGAGTAGACAGGGTCTTCCTCGGCCCCCTACAGCGCCCCATGCCGATCTCCTCTTGGGAGATTCCAGTCCTCTGCCTCAGCAGATCGGACGAGACCTGTCTGTCCTCCCCATCCTGTCTCTGACCTCCTGCATGAATGTTACTTGGGCTTTTCATTCCAGATCCTTGGCGGCGAAGTATTCCAATGCGTGTAAAGTCAGCTACAGTATCCCTGCTGAACTTGAACATTGAACTGTATTGCCATATGTAACCGGTTCTGGTACAATGGAATTCTTACTTACAGAAAGTCTCTCGATTGTAAAACAAGTGTAAAAAACAAAAC